ACAGCAGCCAAAATTCTCATAGGCAGAGCAGAATTCCAAGTGAAAAGGGGGCTGGAAGGGTGGCCCATAATCCAGACACTGAGGATGCGCCAGCAGACAGCCTATGAGGCACAATAAGGAGAGGTAAAGCACGACATACGGGCAAGAAAAGGTAACTCCAGAGCTGCTGTTGCTCTTCCCAGTGCATGGCCAAACGTTTACTTCCTTCAGTGTAGGTTTCTTGAGGTTAGATGTATAGAAATCCTGGACCTCTTTGTAGTATGGTTCATTCATCCTCTGTGTTTCGTTAACTGCCAGCCACAGAGCTCCACATTCACTCAGCTTTGCTTACATTCTCCCTCCCTTTTTCTCTCTGAAGTTTACTACTTGGCAGGAGAGAAACCCTCCAGGCTGCCTCTCTGGTATTTCACACGTCACACAGCTGAACCCTCCCCTCTGGGCATGGCTCATGCCCCTTGAAGATCTAATCCATATTAAACTGGCTGAGAAATCCTTCACCGAGAAATACAAATAACAAAAACATGAACTATGATACCTATCTACAGAACACTATAATCCCTTCTCATTTACAACACACAAGTGAATAGTTTTCAATTGCTAACTACCATTTTACTCAGCTTTTAAAATGCACCAAACCTGGGGCTGGTTTCACAGAGACTGCAGAAGGGTCGTAGAATACAACTAAATTAAGGCAGCAGTTTACCAATGGTACAAGTAACTTCAGGACAAGAAGTTTTACAGATATATTGCTGTTACCCACAAACCCAAGTACACTTTCAGAGTTAAAATTAAGAAGAAATTCATAAAGAGTGAAGGAGTAAAGCCATATTTAAGGCACCAGCACATCCTGCAGTCAACTGTAATGTTCTGTGTTAAGCCTGTACTTCAGGTAATTGATTTTAGTGGGTTTGATCCCAGCTGATGTTAAACTGATTTAAACATGCATAAGATTCTTGCCCGCTTTGCCTTCTGGTGAAGGATGCACAAGCAAGCCCTGCAGTTAGTGATGCACAGCATCAGCTGTGTGTGCAGGAATAGTCTGTGTGTACATATTGTACCCAGCCTCTATTTGAGAATGATACTTCCCCAACTCTGCTCTCCTATAGTTTAATCACAACCAAGCTCCTTTATCACTTCACCAAAACCAAGTGTTTTCCTTTGACATAGACATCATACTTACAACAAGGCAACAGAGCACTCCTCACCACTGTGCTGCATCACATGAGTTCAGGCTGATAGTGATCCAACAAAGAGGAGTATCTTTACCTTGCAGTTGCAGGAGTGCTCTGCCATTCTGATGCTGTTAGGAAGAGGCTTTAGCTTTCCCTACAATAGAGCTTATTAGAGAGCAAGGTGTTGGGATCTGTTCATATCAGTAAAGAATAAAGCAATTGAAAAAAGGCTGTTAGGTATTTCTCCTCCCTACAAATCCTAGGAGAAACTATTACAGCCAATGCACAGATATCCTTTGTGTTGTTTCTAGCAGCTTCCTACTTACTGCTTTCCCTCCATGGGACACAGGCAGAGAGTGGGAAAAGTGAAGCTGCAGAGAGAATCTCATGTATAGGGACACCTCCACTCATGCTACACATCACCATCTACTCCCAGGATCTAGCTGTATGCAGCTCATGAAGTGAAAGCTCCCAGTCCTAGCTTCTCAACACAACCACCAGTGTAACGTGATTACTCTGTGATTATGGAGTCCTTATTGGGAAACAGTTGTTTTAAAAACCTCTGGGGTTTTAACATGCATCTCTCTTGCTGTGGCACTGCCAATAATCCTGTCTCTGCTTAGACTTCAATGAACTGGAAACACACCAATCACAAGATTCAGCACTGTCACGAGAGAAAGCATTTTAAATCCAAGTATTTAGATCTGCTGAAGTATCAGCTTTTCTCAGTTACTGCTCTCATACCTTGCAAACAATCACTGAAATTAAGGCATTAGTGTCCTGGGGCAATTGTCTTATTTTGAAGCCACAACAACCAACAAGGCTCAGGGAGGATATTTGCATACTCTCCATTTGTAACTGCAGCCTGGGAGTTCCCTATACATTTAATTCCTTGAGCATTAGAGAGCAATTTGGGGTAACTGACATTACTAGTTACTGCATATTTCTGACCAGGAGGCAAGAACACTCCTTGCTGCACCCCTGATGAGGGCAGAAAAGCTAGCAGGGCCTTAAGCACATCCTGACAATGAGAGAACACAGAGAGCTTACTACTTGTATTATCCAAGGTCTCCTTGCCGTAGGCAGTCTGGTTTTGTTCGGCCAACATACCACTTCCAGCCATTCTCTAAATGCAACAAAAGACTGAGCGGAACTTCCAATTTCCCACTGCAGATCAGAACACCAGTAACAGAAATCCCTGAAGAACTGTAAATTCAAACCAGTTTCACAGCACATCAATCCTCTGATTCCACAGGGAGTACTCCAAGGGCAAGGCAGACACTCGTTCTGTGCTGACAATGTGCTTACACTGCTCTGAAAACTGAGGCAGGTCCTGCCAAGGTCTCCAGAATGAGACAGCTGCTCAGAAAACAGAGAACCTGGTGGGGAAAAGCAAGGGGGATAGAGCACACACAGTTGGCATGCTTTAAAAGGCAGCTGAATCTTCACCAGCTTTTCTTGAACATCACTAAAGACACTCTTAAAACAGGAAAGCACAAGCAGCAGCACAGAAAACAACAGGGAAAGCAGAAAGGAGAGCTGAAGTGTTTGTAATTGTGTGTGCTCATTACATTCGGTTTTAATATTAGCAAGAGGTAGAAAAACAGAGGGACAATAGACACTGGGTCTGCACAGAAAACGTGAGATTCCCTGAACAAGTTCCTTGCCTCAGGATAAAGGGGAACAGCAAAGAAAAGATGTGCTATTTGTTTCACGGAAGGGGGGTGGGAATCCTCACAGAGATTCTGCACACAGGATGAAGACCACAGTTTGTCAGAAACCCAAACCTAGAGGAGAATTCAGAGCCAAAGCAGAATAGTTTGATCCACTCAGTTACCATATTCAAAGTACAACACAAAGGCTTGAAAACCCAGCATGTCCTGAATAGTTTGCATAGGAAGTGTCACTCGGGACTTGTGATGTGCAGGTTTATCTCAGCTGTAAGCACTATAGTGTCAGGAAACAGCAAGTTTCTTGCAGGACATGAAAGCAAAGAACAATGCTTAAAGATAGTTACATGAAAGCTGGGACTGTGCTGCTCTCTTGCTTGCTGACTGCAGCATGGTAGTTGTAGCACTGGGAGAGAACAGGATCCCTGGCAGCAATCCTGCTTTCAGAGGTCACAGTAGAAAGCTGTGAGCACAAAGGATTAACAGCTTTTACAATGACATCAAGCTTCCCGTTGTCTTCTCATTCTCCTTACAGCATCCTTCTTACCTCCACCTCAATCCCTGTTGCTTTGTTTCACTTTTCTTCCTCAACAGATGGTTTCTCAGCTGCTGCAAGGCAGACATTTCCCACAGGTAGCTAAGGGGACAGAAGGGAAATGACACAGGAGCTCTCAACAAACAGCAGGGGCTCTAGCATTCAATTCTTACACTGTTTGTGTTAGGTTTTATGATAAAAGCTTCTCTGCATGCCCATAAAGGAGCACAGAGAGACAATGGCAAGGGAAGCCCAAATACCACCCTGCGGGGATGCTCCAGGCCCATCACATGTGAGTTACCAGCCCACCAAAGGTCCATCTTTGTAGGTCCAGAGGAGCAGAGCAGGAAGGCAGGGAGCCAAATAAGGACTCCAGGGAAGGGATACCCTGCCTGGTTGCCTCTCAGGGCTGTCCCAGGACAGCTTAAGCTGCACCGTCCAGGCAGGAAACCCACCAAGGTGAGTCACTGGGAGAAATGATGTGGATCATCTTTCAGACTCAGGGGAAGCAACCACTTCCCAGGAGTGCTGGACACCTTACAGGATGCTGGGAATAGCATTTTGAAACCTCACAATCAACATGAAAATAGACAAAACTCAGTTGAAGATCTCCAAGAAAAAACAACCCCAATTATTACAGAACAAGGCTGCCTTAGGGAGTCAGAACTGGAAACAGGACAACAGCACATAGGTCAGGAACAAGGAATAACTGCCTTTTTTGATAAAACATACAGTTATGGCAAACAGCTCAATGTTTAAGAGACATTGTCTTAAAGCACATTTCATGAGACCCATATTAACCCAGCCTCAAATCCCAGATAAAAACTCAGCTTTTAGAAGGAGAGCTGTACTTATCCATATACTACCACGCTATTAAAGACAGCTTTATTTCATTCCCAGCAGCAGTTCAAGCAGCTCAAGCAGCTCATCCACCAGAGTTCTACAGATCTGCCATTAAAACAGAAGTAGTATTTGGAAACCATTTTGTTGTTGGATACATTGAAGTTCATCATCTATTTGAACAAGCTGCAGAAGATCTTCACAACCTGGAATTCTTCTCAATATATAGTGCACACAAAAGTGACTCCTGCCTCTGCATTTCCCATATATTTCAGGAAATTATCAGTTATAAGCAGCAAGCTTTGTAACCTTTGCAGGTTGAGAAGGTGTTTTCATAGTGCACAATGTGCTTACTGCTCCTAGGTTAAGTCACTACACCTATTATGAATGCCACTGCTAGTCCTGAATGGCTTTTGAGCTACGTTCCAGCAGTCATTTAAATTACCATCTATGCACCTAAACATGAGGATCAGGCCTACAATGCTGCTGACACAGGAACTCTACACCGTAACAGCTAAATATTTTTCAGTATGTATTTGAAATCAAGGCTGTTTGCATTTCACACAGAAATACGGGATTAATCTGAAAGAAACTCCTTAACCTGATCAGTTGATTTATACTCATTTTATTACAAAACAAATAAAACCCAAAGCATTTTTTACAGACATACATTAAAGTCTAGTCCTGAGTCAATAGGTGCTGTCTGGAAGTTCTAGAATGACAGCTACAGAAGTCAGTTTCACAAAGATGAAAAAGCACAAGAACCTTAAGGATGCCTTCTAATCAAGGTTGCACAGAGGACCCTGAAAGGCCAGATATTCTCATGTAGACAGGATGGTGCTTATGCACAAACTTCTTCAGTATCCGAAACCTTTTCACGTGAGCTTTGCAGCCTTGGTGGGATACGTATTTAAAGTACTTGCCATCTAAGGGGAAAAATAAAAAGGCATTGTAAGTTATAGCCATGACACAAGCAAATTTAAATAGCATGCAAGCGTTTAAGAAAGTTTTCAGTAATGAAAGGTAATAAAATAACCCAATACATGCTCATGGCAGGGGGTTGGAACTAGATGATCTTAAGGTCCTTTCCAACCCAAACCAGCCTGTGATTCTCTATAACTGTATGCTGCATCTTACAAAATATTTTTTTTCTCTTTAGCTTTTGCTTTTCAGGTACATCAGAAAGTAAAGGTTTGAGAATGTAAAGCAGCATTGATTTCTGACATGAACTGATCTTGCTGGATAAGGAAAATAGCGGCTGATACTGACACCAATAAGCATAGAAATTGCATTAAAGAAAACTGCAGCTGGCATCATTTTATTAACCATCTGGAAATAAAAACTGGGGGACATTTGGTAACACATTACTGAAAGCAAAAAGACTTCCAATATGAGAAATTGTTTTATGAATTCCAGAAGACAAAATTACAGAAAAACTGACAAAAACCAAGTTGCCTATCAATAGAAAGTCCAAACCAGGGGATGAACCACCATCTTCACACTATACTCTCAGTCTCAGTTTAGCAGCTGCTTCTTGGCCTGATATTCTACTTGGGTTTGGCAGCATTTCAAACAATGCTACTACAGAAGTCATGATCTTCACCCTCTTACCAAACTGCTGGTGGCTTTCACTCAAGACACCACCACCCCTTTCCTCCTGCATTACACCACCTCTATAGTCCTTAACAACTAGCCCAGTATTTGCTGAGACACTGCCTAAGCTGCATCCAGCAAAGCGAACCCCCACAACATTCAGGAATGTGTTGTGCACATTTGAAGGTAAACCGACAAGATAAACAGTATTGTGACTGCTCAGCAAGGCCAGATAAAGCAGAATTCTAAACCAGGATGCAAAATATGCCTCACTGTCAAATATCAAACCACTTGGAATATTTTTCTCATGTTCAGCTTCAAAGACAATCTTTCCTAGAAGGAAGAAACTGCCTTTCTTCCAAGGAGTAGATCAGCTGCATTCCATCTGATTAGGGCTAGAACTAGACATTATTTCTATTCTATGCAGTGAAAAGGAAAGAACTCAGTATTACCCTTGCCCAGTAAGATTCCAGCCACCAGAGCTTTTTCGTAGGAAAGGCTTTGATTTTCTTGCCAATTCCTTTTTCCCAAGTAATGGCTAAAATGGAAGGCTGGCCACCAGTCCTTTCTGGAGCTCCACTCTTGCTTGAGCCAGTCGAGATGCTTCTCAGAGCTGGACAAAGGTAGGAAAAGTTAGAAAAAAAAGCTTAAATTGGGATCAAAAGATGATTAGGAGACACTGGCTTTTACAATCAACTTGCTACAAGTATCCTAAATTGCTAGCATAGGCACACAGACCTTACCCTGCAGACAAACACTAAAGAGAAACAACTTTATTTAATCCCCGGCAACACTAGTGAGGCAGGAGGCGAACTCCAGCCACCTTCTTTAGACTTGGCAATAACACAGATTATGGTGTGAAATGAAGCCAGCCTTTGACTTATGTGCCAGTTTGTCAATAGTAATAAAAAAGTTTCTTCAAGTTTGTCAACAGATGAGTAGTATGAAGGGGGTGGTTTGTTTTTAAGAAAAGGTTTGTGTTACTCTGTGCATACTCAAAGACTAACTTATCCCAAATACTTAATCTCAAGACTTGTTAGGCAATAAAGACCTTAAACGAAGCATTTCAGAAACAGAAAGTACCTACACCAGGGAAGAGGTATTCCCACAAAACGAGCAAGATGCCCAGTGTATTTCAAGATAATCTGAAGTTGTCTTTTCAGAAATAAAACTGCAGGCAAAGTTAAAGTATCATACTGGTTTTACTAGCTCTGTGCAACAACACTCCTAGCTGTAATCCACTAGCTTCTGGACCTTAACAGCAGATGGAACAAGGGGGAATGGCTTTAATCTGATAGAGGGGAGACTGAGATGAGCTCTGAGGCAGAAGCTCTTCCTTGTGAGGGTGCTGAGGTGCTGGCACAGGGTGCCCAGAGAAGCTGTGGCTGCCCCATCCCTGGCAGTGTTCAAGGCCAGGTTGGACACAGGGGCTTGGAGCAACCTGCTCTGGTGGAAGTCGTCCCTGCCCGTGGCAGGGGGTTGGAACTGGATGAGCTTTAAGGTCCCTTTCAACTTAAACCATTCCATGACTCTATGCTGCAGAGGTGGAGGTGGCAATAAAACCTCAAAAGGGATTAAATTAAGCTTTGAATTAATTTACTGTAAATATATAGGGCTGAAAAAACACACCACCTTGTTTGCTGGTTAAAATAAAGTCCAGACATTAGAGGCCTTCTGGGTAAAGACTGCCTGAAATGGCTTCTTCTGACGCCAGAGGCCATGTCTGTCAGTGTTGGCAAGGACACATCAATCCCCAGGCATGTTGGCTCAGCTTTTAAGAACACATTGGCTGCATTCTGTAAGTTACAAGCATCACGCAACACACCAGTCTGGGTTGTATCAGCCATGCCCTTACTGCAGCCCAGCAATCCTCAGATCAACTTCAAATAATGCACACATAATAACAGAGCAGAAGACCCAACAAC